GGACAGACGGATGGACAGACGGGAGGGACAGACGGACGGACGGATAGGTGGACAGACGGACAGACGGACGGACGGATAGGTGGACAGACGGACAGACGGACGGACAGACGGCCACAGAGCCCGCCCCGCAGTGCCGCACCGCCGCCACCGGGGGGCGCTCACCGCCCCGGCTCCGCGCCCGGGGCCTCCCYCGGGTGAGCGCCGCGGGCTCGTTCTGCTCCTCGTTCCTCCTTCCTTTTCCATCTCCCCGTCTCTTTTCCGCTGTCTAAACAGCCCCATTTGTTCCGTGTCTTCTCCTGGAATATCTCACCTCCGATCAGCGCCATTGCTCTCTCGGAGAGTCGCTGCGGCGCTCCAGACCGCTCTGGGCAGAGCCCAGCCAAGCACAGGGTCCACACTGGGATGTTTTTCCTACTGGGATGTTTTTCCTACTGGGATGTTTTTACATCTCAGACTTTTCCCCCGCAGTCATTTCACTTCTCTGCAGCTTTGTTTACAGTACCAGGTGTAAACAAAAAAATATATGCCAAAAAAAATATAGTAAAAAAATCACAAATCCATGCTTTAATGAGACTTCCAACACATTTAGACCWCCAGACGCCTTTCTCAGTAATTTCGCTCGAGGCAGTGATTGAGTCCTGCTGGGAGAAGTCCTTGCAGCAGCCCAAGATTTATCTCCGTATTTGCCAGCGCAGCTATTTGGGCTGATGCCTGATTTTTGCTTTTCCTTTTCATGCTTTCTGTACCCTCTATGCATTCCTCTCTACSCCTTAGCCCACAGGTTTGTAGCCTGATATTCCAGCTTAGTTTAGGGGTTCTGMTGGGCAGAGAGAGCAAACACCCTCAGGAAGGGCTCAGTGTGCCCTGTGATTCTTCAAATCCGAGGTTCCAGCCTTGGGTGAAGCYTTCTCTCTGGARYATCTTGTATAAACTGGGCTCTGGCCTCATCCAGGGGCGATTCATTAGAAYAGGGGGACATCACTGCATTTGTTAAATCTCTTATTGKGGAATCCTAGATAGATATGCTAATTCCTGAAAYCTATAAARCTTGTAYCYGTGCTRTACACGGGKGTGCATTCTGCCATCAAGTTGTGCACCTGGGATCCCAAATMCCGAGGCAAAACCTTTTTATCCCCTTAACCRAGTGTGTCATTATTAARAACTGGCCATTCAAGGCAACAGGRCAAGCCCTYCCTCAGTGCCTCAGTGTAATAGTTTCTCTATTTATAGCTGAAAATGAAGGCAAGCATTAATGAACAGCTTTGATCAATACCTTATCAATCAGGTGGACAATTTATGTTGAAATTTGTTACTGTAACAGCATGTTACCGATGAATTACCAATAGGATAAAGGAACACTGGCAATCTATCAAGTCTATGTCTTGCTTGAAAACTTCTTTGTTGCTTTATTACAAAGTTGAAGAATGACAGTAAAAAGCAGCATTAGGTCTGTATGTGCTCTATGAGCATTTATGAGGAAATTAGGAAATGTTTGTATTGGATGAAAATGTCAAACCRGACATAAAAGCTGCCAAGGGATCCTTGTCTCTGTGCCTGCCTCCAGACATGTTATTATTTACAGAGAATTATTATTCCTGTTTAGTGAAGTAAGTAACTTCAACAGCTTGCCATGAAAGTTCAGTTACTACAAATTAGTAATTCTTTGTTTAATCTGTGAGATCAAACACAGCCCAGTTGTGCTGCTGGCCTTGCAGCCTCTCTAGGTTCCAGCATCCTGCAGCTACTCTGAAGTCACAGCACGCTGCCAGCCAGCTTGCTGCCAACAGGTTCTACCAAATATCTTTAAACAGAAGGGTTTTGGGTGCTCACCTGCTTTGTCAAGCATACATTGCTTAATTCAAGAGTAATTACCTATTTCTGTGACTTTGGCCTCAAGAAYTGCCAGGATATGATGATACCTACACTCCTGCCATCAGCCTCTCAGATTTTTGGAAGGCACATTCCCACCATGAGCATGGTATCAGCTGCTGGGCCCTACAGTCCAGCATTCAGCAAAAGCAGCTCTTACTTTGGAAACATCACACAGGTCATTTCTGCACATTATTTCTGTTCTACAAGCTCTGGGCATTGAGGAGCTCCGACTGAAGCCTTGCTGGCAGTGTCTGGCACAGAACTCGTTTGTGGCACAGATCAGGTATTTCACACCTCACAATCACYGTTTCAGGCTTCTGAATGACACCTGGGTGTGATTCAAACCCTKCTTTCCAGAGTTGGTAACACAGCAGGAAAAAGTGCCCCCAAATCACCCCGTAAAAGCTGGGAACAAGAACAGAGCTGCAGCACAACCCGTGCTTCCCACTGGAAAACAGCCTGGGAAATGTAACAAGAAAACAGCAATGAAAAGAATATTCCAAATGTTTATTATGTATTAAAAATACTGCAAATAAGCCATACAGTTCATTTCACAGTAACCTAAACAACATTGTTCAAGAACTTGAGAAGTCAACAAAGAACAGTGCAGTTCCAACAGTGACAACAGTTACCTTTAATGCCATGGCTCCCTCCTTAGTCAGCAATTCTTTCCTGTTTACAGTGGGAACAACACTGGAYATGGGTCAGGATCTAATTTACCAAGGGAAAAAAAACTCCTTTTCACCTGTGCTGTTCCCATTTCTGGGAGATGCTGTTTCTAGGAATTTTTCATCTAACAGTGGAGGATCTGTCTGGTGCAGGCTGAGGTGGGCATGATGCCCATGGCCTCTTTCCAAGCTATCCGTGTGCAGACTTCTTTACCAATTATTTGGATAAAGTTCAAAAATAAACTTGAAAAGGAGAGATGTTAGAAATCCTTTCCAAGAAGACAGAAAACCAAGGAAGCTCCAGGRGAAAGTGGTTTTTAAAAGAGCATCTACAGAACTATGATGCTTTTTCCTCACTCTCCTAGAGTGGGTTTCTTACAAGGATTTTTTTGCTACCCCTGCCCCAGCCAGACCTCCAGTGACAAAAATGGTGACAAGAATCAGGCACCAAGTCCTGAATATCAGAGTTCAGGTCACTGYCAGCTGTGTGAAAACTTGCAAATGTACACGACATAGAAGCAATTCTGCTGATTTCATGGTGATTTTCCCTCTTGTGTGTTTTGGAGTGTATTGTTGTTTGCATGCTTTTTATACATGGAACACAACAGGTGCAATTTTGGTCCTTCTCTTTCCTCAAATTTGTGGCAATTTTTACAGAAAAACCCTGTATCAAAGACCAAATTAGATCTTTCCAAGAAAGCCTAATCATGTAAACAGTCTAAAAATKTGACAAAAAATATTATTGCTGTACCCTCCTAAAATTAATCCCACCCTTCAGATATCTCTTCTAAGCACTGATCTTCTGCACCAAGAGCTGCAGATGCTGGCAAAAAAAAAAGCCTGTGAAGATGAAGAATCTCTCCAGCCATGTGGTGGAACACACAGGCAGTGCCACCWATCTCAGACTTTATCAGCTCCTTGGAACAGATGAAATTCTCACAGAATTACACCACAGCTCAGCTGACCCTTGGTGTCTGAGTCCCAAACTGCAGAACAGTGAGGTGCTCAACAGCTGCTCCACTCTWAAGTTCACCAAAGTAAAGTTTCAGGTGTAGTTTTGTTTCATAAACCATCAGTGAAATCCTCAGTGAGCTGTGGCCCTGCTGTGTGGGATATTTAGTGTCAATGTGAAACACYTTCATGCCATTAAATATGTGCCCAAGCTAAGGAGGCTGTAGTGCCTTTATTACACCACTACAGAGGTACAACTTTGGAGAGAAAATGAGCCCTTAAGAAACTCAAACCCCAACCAAACTCATGTTTTCTTAAGACAAAATTGAAGGGGAAACAAAAAAAAAACCAAACAAACAACCAAAACTCCAAACACTACACAGAAAAGAAATAAAGGAAATAAGCAGAACTGTCTCTATTATTAAAGTATTCTTATTCTCTTTGGAGGTATCAAATTGCTTTTAAAAAGAGTAAAAAACAGGACATATAAAAGCTATTCTCCTTAACCCATTATTTGCCCAAGGAAGACTGCTGCCTAAACGTTTTCATGTATTTTTTCTACTTTCACAAACAACCTTTCCAGATCATTCCTCAGGTCATCTATCGAGCTCTTCACAGACTCCAAGTTGTTCTCGTTATTTTCAATTTTCACTGAATAGGCGACTAAACTATCCACTGCAGTTCTTATCATTTTTAAATCGGAGTCAACCTGGCTAACAGAAGATCTCAGTTCATCTACAGAGCCTTCCACAGAAGAGAATTTTTCAAGGTAACCTTGAGGATGTGCTTGGCCTGCCTGAAGATTTCCTTGATCCAACAAAGTACTTATTTGCTTCTGGACATCCTGGAGAGCACCAGAGGATGGCAGCTCACTGATGCTTCTCCTTAAGTTTTCCATGTCATTGTACAGTGAAGTCTGTGCTTCACCAAGATTTTTCAGAACATCTGTGACCGAAGTAACRTCTGTATTTGAGAGTCCCTGAAGAGTGGTAATGCTTTGTTCTAGGGTATTGAGCTTATTCTCATATTCTGCCTCCTTAGAAAGGAAAGATTCCAACTTTTCACTGTTTTGAGCAGCAGCAGATGTTAGAGACTCTAGGCTGTCTTCTATGTGCCTCAGTCGAGACTCCAGTCCTTTACTGTTCTYCCCAAAAGTTTCTAATGCTTTTCTGAAGAGTTCATTATCTTCCCATTTGTTGAGGTTGGCTTTCACTTGCAGTAAATCTTCATCAAGTCTTTTAATGTCACTAGGGAGCTGCATAATRGAATCCTCAGCTCTCAGAACTTTCTCTTGTAAAGCTTTCAGTGAAAGGTGTTCAGTGTCYGCAGCCTCTTTGAACTTCTCATGTTCCTGTTTGAGGTTGACTAACTCCTTCACTTCAGTGTACACATCAGACTCCATGGAGTCTATTGTACTCTTCAAGGTCTCTATGTCCTTTTCTTTCATTTTCATGGATGCTTGCATCTCATCAAAAGCATCTTTTAGCACCTTAATTTCATGTTTGTACACATCTGCCTGTTCTAAGGAACCAACCTTTGCTTTCATATTATTGATTTCATCTTGGCTCCTTTGCTGCACTTCAGTGAATACAGCAATGTTATCATTTATAGATTTGGTCAGCTCTGTCAGTCTCTCTTCCACTGTGTTTTCCAGAGATGTGAAGTCTCGTTCCCTCGCATCCTTCACCATGTGAATGCCGTCAGACAAGTCTTTCAAAATTTCATTTTGCAGCTTCTGAAGCACTTCACTGATCCGATTGATTTCACTCTCCCCTTGTTTAACAGCCTTCTCACTAACCTCCTGCTTCTGCTGAACGATTTTCATCATGGATTCAAATTCTCCAAATGTGGTTTGAAGAGAACGTACCTAGGCCAGAAATAACACATAGTTAATACCAGTAATTTCACCCTTTTTGTCCGAGATCCTCACAGTCGTTGTTACCATATGAAATTATTACCTTGCAATGCTTCATGCCCCATACCTGAGCCCGTGGAATACAGATATGGGAGAATACAGAATACAGAACACCTTCTGTTGAGAGTCCTCAGCCTCACTAACCTGACACTGATGATACAGGAAATCTGTGCCAGTGAAAAAGGAACCCAGCTCTCCAGAGCCTGCATGCAGACCTCTGAACCATCCCTCCCCTATAAGCTTCTGGGTTCTAAAGACCACAAGTCCACAAATGAGAAAAGGGAGAAGGCAAAAAAAAAACCAAAAACCAAAAGAATCTGGCATCAGCTTTTGAATACAGAAAAAAGGGAATTATATTTTATCAGGCAAGAATGCCAAAGACCAATTCCTGACCATGAAAAAGAAGTTTCAYAGTAGACAAGAAAGACCAACAGGAAAAATCAGGGAGAAAGCGGAGCTGGGATGGGCTGAGGAATGGGAGTAGTAATCATGACATTTTGCTGCTTTGCTGCTCCTAGACACCAGTGGAAACACAAGAGGGTTTTTTTGTTAACTATTTGTTAAGATTAGAAAAATTATAAAGTCTTACATGTTCTAAATAGAGMAAACAAAGGCACAGCAGCTGCCAAGGGCCTGCCCTGCATCCAGCTCAGGTTCACAGAAAGCTCCTACACTGCATCAGGCACGCTGTGAAACTTCCCAATTACAAAAAATATCTTTGCCACTGGTTTTAGCAGCAGCCAGAGGGAAAAGGCCAAGGGGTAAGGGGCTGCCTCATGTTCATTCACTCTCACATTTAAAGGTAAGACCCAGGCCATGGAAACACACATTACTTAAGACTGGTGAAATCTTTTTGTGTATGTGTGGGTTGTACTTTCTTAAACTTTGTAAAGCAATGTAGGAACTCCCAGTGGCTGCAAGAGGAATCCAGYACACAGAAAATACCTCAAGGCTTTGGCAGGATGGCAAGTGCTGAGTAATGCACGTTGCCTTGCCTSACAGTACTCCCTGTGTCTGAGGGGTATATTAATCAGCCATGCCACATGGGCTGCCATGTTTACTGATTAGATACACAGCTGCAGGGGTGGTTTTATTTTAKAAATAAAATAAGTATATTTTACATGGTTTTAGAAAGAAATACACAGAGCTGCTTTTCTTTTTCTTTTCAACTGAATCAGGCTGCAGCAGCTCCCTGACTCTGAACCTAGAAATATTTTCAAAAGACCTAACAGACAGACTGACTGGATATTATGTTATTTCTATGTACTTTTGCAAATCCCTGGCCAAATMCTCTGTAGTTTCCATGAAAGTTTACACTGTGTAAGGATGGGAGAGTTTGGCYATGAGGCTTGCCCTTGCTCTGACAAATCCCTGCAGTTTGAAGAATACCCATAAAGATAACTTCTTTTCCCCCTCTTCAGCAAAAAGGTTTCTAATGACTTTACATTCCCTACACTTGAATTCTYCAGTACTCCCATAGGAAATTAAAAATGAGCTAAGGGGAAGGGGTGGAGATGGTAATACTGCCATAACACTGCAGCTGGGCACCAGTCATTAGACTGACATACCAACCTCATTTTCATTASATCTTAGCTGTCATTCATTATGATTCTTCCCACAGAGAGCAGAGAGCTTTTTCTGTATCATTGTAAATGGAGGTCAGAAATCTAACAGGRTAACACAGGAAAACTCTCCTCCCCCTCCTATTACAGTGACACATTTCAACCAAAKCACCAAATTCATATTTGCAAGTAACTATCACTTTAGTCTGAGGAATCAGAAACAGCCAGAACTCTTCAGAGGGCTGTGTCTCTATTACTACATGACTGACAGAGSTGAATGCAGTGGAAGTATTTTATACCTGCTCCTCCACTGCATTCAGGCAATACTCATGGTGTAAGCTGGACCCATTCTCCTTTTGGGCCAGCCACTTGAAGATCAGTGTTCTGGTATAATAAAATGGACTTGGCTCTTCAAATTATACCAGCTAGAAACACTGCAAGAGCCACCAGGGCTCAGAGCAATACCCTTGCACAAATATGTAAAAACTCACAGCTTTGAAGCAGATGGTTTGTGTGTGGACCTACATGTGATCTTGCCTTTTTGATAATATACACGGCTGGTAAGATTTAATGCCATAGCCCTTGAAAGACTTAACATCTTAAATGGTACATATAGTATTTTCTCTATCTGGTCATACTATCTTGTGTTTGAACACCAAATGACCTTGCTCAAGACTAAACATCCACATAATTTCCTTTCTTTCTCCTCGATGTGTAAAGCAGATGAGTTTATATAACACTTACTCCTGACAGGAGCTCTCTGCAGTCAAAACTGAAGGGCAAAGCCACCCAGCAGCCTGTGCTGATGGCACTGTGCAAGCACAAGGCAGGATCCTACACTTTTGTAAGGCAATGACACATACAGCCTGCTCTCCACTCCCYCAGGTACATTTCCTGTGTCCACAAACTACAGCACCGAAAACTTTCGAGGGTTATATCGAAACTGTGTCCCCCACCTTTAGTCCTTGCACTACTGCACGTCTAACAGCAGCCATCTGCTATTCACAAGCAAATAAGTTTCAGTTGTCTTTGAAACCAACTACTTATAAACTTCTGTTATATACTCCTCTCCTAGAATATGTAACAGATATTTACGATTTTCTGCAATGACATGGAATGGGAGGCAGCAAATAATACCCATTCCTTTGATTAGAAGGGCTTATACACTGCATGTACATCTGAGTTCTACATTCACGTACTGTAGTTTTATGTCTTGCCACTGCAATTTCTTCCTTCTTACAGTCTACACAAACACCTTAAAAACCGGTAAAAAAAAACAACCTTTGCCAGTTCAAATCACTGTCCTGTCATCAGTGAGTAAAACATCCAGGATTTAAAATTACCTTTAGAAACAGCATCATAGCCCTGAATGTTACAACCCTTCTTCCCCGCTGATGTGAATTTTCCTTTTCCTTCTTGTTGTATGGGACAGGAAACACCAAGTGGCACTGAACAGCCAGAAGATCTCTGCCAGTGCCTGTCTCCCCAATGCCAGCCCARGCCCAAGCTCGCAGGGAATACAGGCAATCTGAATGGTCTGCCATGCAGAAAGCAGTCAAGCCGAGACAAGAATTTCCTYTTCTTTGATCTGACTCAGTCATAACTTTACATATTGTCTTCCAACCAGTATACCTACTCCGAGGAAATTAGCTTAATTGTATGTTGATGATATGCAATCACAGATGCCATTTTAAAAGGTTTCCTACCTAGGACATATCCAAGTGGACAGTGCTATTTGTGAAAGTATCGCTGGGAGGCTACTAAGAGCCTGAGTGGGAAAAAAAAAAAAAAGAGGGAAATGAGCATTTATTTCACTTCACTTGAGCCACATCCTGCGCCAACAACTTCGCAGCTTTCCCGTGGTCCTGGACTGCCTTGGACAATGCGAGTCTCGCTCCCATGGCCAGAGAGTGCGGCAGGAACGTGGGAGGCAGAGTACAGCAGCAGTGTTTCTGGCACCGGCTCTGTTGCTCGGTGAAGCTGATACGGGTTTTGTTTTCTCGAGTGTGGGGACGCTCAGGCGGGGTTCTGCCCCGTGGTGACAGCTCCGCCACAGCGCGKCCCTCGGCCCGCACACCTGCCCATGGGCTGCGAGGAGCGGCTCGCCCGCCCCTCCAGCTTCATCTGCGAGCCTTGAAAATGCACAACTAAAGGCAGCTCTGCACCGCTGCCAACGCGTAATGCAGCGTGCGGGCTGCATTCCATAAAATGGCTTCAGGCTGGAAAAGCGAGCTGGGGGCTGCGGCCGCCGCCGCGGGGTCCGTCCCGCCCCGTCCCGCCCCGCTCGGCGCTGCCTGGCAGAGATTGCTCGCTGCTCCGGGGCCACGTTTGCAGGAATGGGGAATACCGCGGGCCTGACTTCAGCTACCCCTCTAATGCCATGAAAGCATCTTTGAGGGAGCAGGGAACACGAAGGGAAGGCAACACTCGCCTTCACAGCTCATTATTTACGGGGCGAACAATCCCGTCCGCTCCGCTCCCCGCCCCGCCGAGCAGCACCGAGCGCCCCGACGGCCCCCAGCCCGCCCGCCCCCGGCGCCGCGCTACCTTCTGCACCACGGTGTCCAGGGTGGCGGCCAGCTCYTGCCGCTGCCGGCCGGAGGCCTCCACCTCCCGGGCGCTCCGCCCGACCTCCTCCTGCAGCAGCCGCACGTACCAGCCGGCGGGCAGCGCGGCGCCCAGCACCACCGCGGCGCCCAGCAGCAGCAGCGCCCAGCCGCGCCGGGGACCGGCGCCGGAGCGGCTCCCCCCGCCGGCCCTGCCGCCCCGGCCGTGCCCCGCCGCAGCCGGCTTCTTGGCCGGCGGCTCCTCGGCGCCACCGGGCTGCGCGCCCTTGTCGTTGGCGGCGGCGGGCGGGCTGCCCCCCTTAGCGCCCCGGTGCTTGGCGGCCGACATGGCGGGACGCCGCCGCCGTGGYACGCAGAGCGGGAGCAGCGGGAGTGGGCTCGGGAGAGAGGAGGGAGGATGGAGAGAAGGCGGAGGCGCCGGGCCGGGCCGCGCCACGCTCCCCGCCCCGCCCCGGCCCCCGCCCCGGGGAGCCGCCACGCACACGGGGTTGGGCTCCGGCCCTGCCGGGGGGAGACGTGGCGCGCAGGGCCCGGCCCGTTCCCCGGGGAGCAACGGGACGGGGAAGCGGCGGGCGGGGCGGAGGGACAGCCCCGATCCAGCCCCGAGGTGACACACCCTGTCCCGACCCGGCGCGGGGGTCTCGGAGCGGGGAGCCCTCTCCGCCCTCGCATCCTCCGGCCCCGGGCGTCCCCCAACCCAGCCYGGTCCTTCTGCCAGTTTTTAGCCCCGCGCGTAGTTTTGGTGGCAGAACGCGGCGGGATTCTGCCTCACGCAACTTCTGTTTTGCTCGGCTGGAATGACTTCAGCAAGCTCCGGAATGACTTGAGAGAAGAGCGTGGGGGAAAAAGTTATTTTGTCCATCCGCAACCCCTGTCCCCATCCCGTTTCTGGTGCCTCGGGCTGGTCCCTTTCCACCCCGAGAATGCTGCTTCGCCTCCCCACGCCGACAGGAGCCCGCTGCCTTCATCTTCCCCACGGAGCCAGTCCCGCCACAGGACAGGAAATGCAATTCTGAGCAGGCCTTTCCCTTGCCGCAGGCTCCAGCTGGAGCTTGAGGCGCTGAATGCATCTGCTCCTCTATTTGTTTACAGCAAGAAATTAAATTAATTTTTTTCTTGGAAGACATTTTCTTTCCTTTGATAACAGCATATTCTTCTTTTACATATATATATATATACGAATAAATTTTAAGTCGAGTATTATGTAGAAACACTGAATCTTAAAGCTAGAAGGATCACAGCCCCCGATGTCAGCCCAACAAATCCAGTTCCACCTCTGCCAAGGCTTAGGATGAACTGAACTGTTTGGTCTCTACATGGTGTTCTAGTGAGTCAGTGCTAGAATGGGAGATAAGTGGAGAATTTGTAGTGAATTGTCTCAGGCATTTTGTCAGCACAATTCTGTCAAATGTACAGATGTGAGACCAAAAGTCAGCAGCTGGAGAGGATGTCAGAGTGACTGCAGGTTATGGGCACCACAACAGAACTCAGTGCCCTGACCCTAACAAGTAACACAGAGCTTGCATGGGGTCAGGAGGTTGTGTTAAATACATCCCAGAGGTGGCTGAAGCTGCTATGAGGGGGCTTGCACTAAAACAGATGAGGAACYCTCAATATAATCTGTCTTCTTCAATACCATGAGAGTAGAAATCCTCAGTACCAAACAAAGCACCGTGGCAAAGCTAAAATATCAGTTTCCACTGTGAAGATCTAGCCACAGCCTCACACTTTATGAGAAGGGAATTTCAGATTTCTATTTAGGAAGGGCCTGGAAAGGTTAGGATTTGTAGCAGTACCCTAAGACCCAGGATTTTAGCTCTGAAGCTGTTTATTTCAGAGTTTACTGTAAGAACTGAGCCATATGGACTTCACCAGAGAGAATAATCAAGAGACTCATCCATGTTAAGTATGAAGGTATGTAAATCTTTTTCAGGGAGTAAGGCAGGACAGGTAACTGTCATMTCATTTCTCCTTCTCTCACTTGGCAGTGACAAGGAAAATGTTAGCAATGTACTACCTAAAGCTTTTTCTTACCATGGAACCAGTTCAAGCTATTTATGACCAAGAGTACCATTCCACAATTAGCTTTTTGTTGTATTGGACACATCAGGTCAAACTCTTTATTTCCTTTGTACAGAAAGACCAATTACTAGTGCAGAGGGGAGTGCGCAGTAGGAATTTGCTGAGGTGGTAACGTTGCTTGACAGTGCAGACTGGTGTGGTTGGGGAAGCTCTTGATGCACCATTTTCTCTCAGAGGTGYCAATATTCTGCTTTGCCTCTGCATTAATTTGAAGACAAATATTTCAGCGGGGAGAAGCAGCAACGCTCTTTGCTTCTCACAAGACTCATTTCTCCTTGGAATACAGGAAACTCCACAGAAGAACAAGCTGAGAAAGCATCCTTACACCTGCCTTGTAGTCTTTTTGTCTTGCCCTTGAGCCTATTATCAAATCTGGGCCTGATGATCTCAGTCAACCCAGAGTCTTAACATCCATCTGTTAGTGCTAAAGCCAGTCTGCCGGGCTCAGTTATTAGGATTAGAGAAAAATACCTTGTGACTTTAAGTTGAGAACACGACTTAGTTGTCATGGGCCCTGGAGTAAACTGTGGCATGCCTTRCCCTTTCCCTGTCTTCCCTCAGTAACCATGAGTCAGGCCACATACTGAAACATTTCTGACCTGCAGGGCCAAATTCAGCTGCACATCTTATCCACTCGGTAGCTGCCTTGCTGGATAAAGCAGTGCATTAATTGTAGGCTTTGCTGTCTTTGCCAGTTTTACTGGTGACAGTMAGGAAGGTTATGAACCAACTTGCTGCAAAGACTGAGCACAAACTAGTCCTTCATTTCAGTGGAAAGTGCTTCTGTAGTGAAAGGCTAAGGATTGAAATCAACTTCAGACACTCGTAAAAATTCCAAATGTGTACATTTGTTGTGGTTTAACTTCATCCAGGAAATAAGCTGCACACAGCTCCTCTCACCCCCCACATTCCCAATGGGATGAAGGAGAGAAGGTGAAAGTGAGAAAACTTTGGGTTGAGATAAAAGCMATTTAATAATTGAAACAAATGTAAATAATATTATATTGCAATCAAAATGAAAATAAAAAAGAGAGATAAATAAAACCCAAGAAAGACAAGTGATGCAAATGCTAACAGTTGCTCAGCAGCAACTGACTGATGGCCAGCTAGACCCCAAGCTGTGTCCCTCTGCCAACCTTCCCACACTTTATTGCTGACCATGATGCCATATGGTGTGGAGTCAGTGGGGTCAGCTGTCCTGGCTGTGTCCTCTCCCAACTTCTTGGGCACCTTTCTCCTGGCTGCTGAGGTGGGGTGAGTGGCAGAAAATGGCAGAAAAGGCCTTGACTCTGTTCAAGCACCGYTCAGCAGTAACTAAAGCATCCCTGTGTCATCAACACGGTTTTCAGGACAAATCCAAAACACAGCACCTTACCAGCTACCAGGAAGAAAATCAGYTCTATCCCAGCCAGATCCAGGACATACATGCAGGTGCTAAAGAAGACATAAGGACATTAATTTTCTTAATTGAGCAGAACAAATGTAAAGGCTGTACAATTATATTTCTGGCTGACATGGGGGACACCCAGAAAACGAGAAATGAGTGGCATTTCTCTGTGGAGAAAATCTCTGCAGTAAGTAATCTACTTCAAGATCCATAAAGTGGCCTAGAGCTTCAATGCCTCTGGATCAGGAAGGAACTGAAACCAAAAAGAAGGTTAAGTGCTGAGAACTGTAGTGTCTAACTGGCTTTTGCACCAGAATCTCGAAGTATGTCCTTGGTGCCTCAGCTCTCCATACAGATGTACAACCCTGACAAAATAGATAGATAGATAGATAGATAGATAGATAGATAGATAGATAGATAGATAGATAGATAGATAGATAGATAGATGGATGGATGGATGGATGGATGGATGGATGGATGGATGGATGGA